TCTCTCTCTCTCTCTCTCTCTCTCTCTCTCTCTCTCTCTCTCTCTCTCTCTCTCTCTCTCTCTCTCTCTCTCTCTCTCTCTCTCTCTCTCTCTCTCACACACACACTCTCACATTCACTCACTCACTCACTCATACATCCATACATATACAAGTGAGTGAGTTTAGCTTTACGCCGCACTCAGCAAAATTCCAGCTATATGGCGGCGGTCGGTAAATAATCGAGTCTGGACCAGACAATCCAGTGATCAACAACATGAGCATCGATCTGCGAAATTGGGGACCAAAGACATGTGTCAACCAAGTCAGCGAGCCTGACCACCCGATCCCGTTAGTCGCCTCTTACGACAAGCATGGGTTACTGAAGATCAATATTCTAATCTTCACGGGTACATATACAAGTAGCCTAATGTCATGTAAATTCTTATTTAAAATATCTTTTTGGTACCATCGTTTCTTGCTTCCTTGATACAATCCCCTTACTTACAACAGTGGCCTGGGTCATCTACCGCTACTCGAAGGTACTGCGTGAGTAAACCTTTTGCTATCAATCTCGTTATAATTGACGTGAACAAACGGTTTGTGTCGAGGTTACCTGACGTCAACTGGCGTCACAGTTGGGTATATTGTTTGACTACGCAGATAAACAGAAATGGTAGTTATGTAACTTATTGAGCGTACAAATATATTTTAACTGAGGCATTGTAGGAAACCACTTCACTTGGAGCTAATTCATGTGGAAACACCATCTTCATAGGCGGATCCAGAGGGGGGTGCAGGGGTGCTCCCCACCCCTTTTTGTGCTGAAAGTTTGTTAAATGGCCATTGAAACTCGGGTGAAAATGAAGTGTGCACCCCTCCTTTTCTCAATAGTGTGCACCCCCCTTTCTCAAAAAGCTGTATCCGCCCCTGATCTTGACTGTCAGGGATAAAACATTGCCACTATGGGTAATTTGGCCCTCGAGCCCTCGAGAATGTGAGCGCAATATGAACAGCGTAATGACGTCTGCGCATTTTGACGTCACTGAAAAGCGTTATTATATCACAGGATAATGTATTATCGTCGTTTTTACACTTAGCGTAGCATCTTTAAATGTAGGGTATATCCCAGTAGGTTCTGCTATAAGTACAGCAGCTTGCCCTGATGCATCCAGCATCATTTCCCGAGTGTGTCCAGTGCCACTTGATACATCCCGGACACACGTCATCTGTGAAAGGTCATCTGTATTAGTCGCCTCATTTCCAGCAAAGGAACGCTATCATGTTCCAATCTTTGAATTCTAATTTCGATTTTGAAATCCTAATAAAGACGGGCATTTCGAAACGATTTAGAGAAATTAAAGTTTCTTCGTTACAAAATAGCATTACCCTGAACGTTTTTTTCTTCGCCTCGATAATCAATCATTGTTAGGTTTTCAAATACATCGAGTCTAATGAACTCGCATGTTTCCAGAATGTCCAAACCCTGAGGCATTATTAGATTCCGTTCCAATTTGTCAATTGTACAGAGTAGCTAGAAGACTTAAGATATTCCTTCCCCGGAGGCATTACAATCGGCAAAGGTTACTATAGTTTTTACAATTCTGGGATCGGACAGGATTATAGAGGGACCGAAATGCTTGCGTTAATGGCCAAGCCTGTGGCCATCACTGGAACCATTTTCCTACGTAAGTCAAGAATGTACAAAACCCACGTGCCCAATGCCCATGTATGTATGAATTATGTACAGAGCCAATCTGATGTTTACAGAAAGCCAATGTAACTTATGAGGGGTCGATACCAAGAAACTGCCAACACTTGGGACTGACCATCTTGCGGACGTCAACGCGTAACGTCACATGGGCACGATCTCGTACCCGTCTGGTTCCCTTCCAAGTCGTTTCAGACAGAAACTTTGACAGCTTTCAGCATCCATGGCCTACGCTGTATTAGTGTCAGGAGTGTGAGGAATCGATGACTAGAGCATAACATCCGACCACGACGCCGAGCTGTAAGTCTAGTCTTGCTGCGACGTCATCGAGCTGCACGCCTCGTATGGTCAAGGCAACATGTGAGGTACAGGTTATTGGACTGGAGGCAAGACTTCTTCATAAATTAGTAGATCAACGTTCTGCGTTAGGCGGTTTGTGGGAACGCCTTCATCTAGTCAATTTGTTGTATGTGTGGTGTCAGGGGGATGTATGTGACGAAAGAAGTTTGTTTACGTGGCAAAATGGCATCTGTTTACGTGGCAAATGACATGTGATTATGTGACAAATATCTGGTGTTTACGTGACAAATGCGATGTGATTATGTAATCAATGTGTGACATGTTCGCATGGCCTGTGTGATCGGTTTATCTGGTAAATGTCACGCGTTGACGGGGTTAATGTGACTGAACTTGGTTTAACGGCGCTTCCAACTATAATTCTACAGTTCATGACACGTTAGTTCATGTGTGAGAAACGTCTGAACCGAAGGCGAAGCCCCCATGAACTCGAGTGGTCTTGATACGTCAAAAGCAACTGTCACAGGATTTGTCACAGTGAATTACGGCGCCATAACGACTGGGCCGCTGTGAACTCACGATAAGTGGCATGGCGTATACCCGCGTCAATGTGTATGTGATCCTAAACGAAATACGGAAACTAAGATGAGGTAGTCAGTGAGTGAGTGAGTTGGGTTTTAGGCCGCTCTTAGCAATATTCCAGCAATTTCACGGCGGATGACACCAGAAATAGGCTTCACACATTGTACCCATGTGGCGAATCGAACCCGGGTCTTCGGCGTTACGAGCGAACGCTTTAACCACTAGGCTACCCTACCGCCCCCTAAGATGAAGTACGAAGTAGCACACGGCTCAAGTTAAATTACGCGGCATTGTTTCACAGCGACGGATCATCTGCAATAGCATTTTTTGTTTGATTTTATTTATTTAAGTGGTTTTTTTTATTCATTTAGGGTAGGAGTGGAGGTAGGACAACCTCGATATAAACAACTGACACGTCATAAAAAGGTTAGATGACGTCATCGAGTTCGAAAATTTTTCGATAGTCTTTAGCATTGCAATTGGCTGTATGCATGGAAGCAGGTAGTAAACAGACATCGTCGTCTGACAAGGCAAATATATGTAAATTATATATCAATCTGTAAACATTGAGATACCACAGAGGAAGTGTTTGTTCGCACACACGATAGAGCGTGAATTAAACCCCACAGTCACGAGACCAGTTTCCGCATCACATTATAACCTGCTTTCTCGTTGTCTTGTCCATTTTTCACTATCAAGTGAACCTGTAGATTTGAAATGTAATATGTGTTCATGTCTCCAGCATGACAGCAGTATGTTTAGTTTCCCATACACTCTATCACTATGCGGGATAATCGATCACAAAGTTATCGAAAACAGAAGACTACAGTAGTGCTGTGGAATTACTTCACCAGAAAACATTGGGTATTCTCACGACTCGACATTTACGTATTAAGTCAGTGATTAAGGCGGCCTGCAATGCTCGCTGCAGTGTTTATCTCCTCCCTCGTCTCGGGGAAGACACAGTTGCTGGCTAAATAAAGCCGCGGCATGAGAAGTACTGATGTGATTACGCGCTGATCACAGGGGAATTGCAGCCATCAACAGTGTATGGCGCCGTGTAACGGTAAAACCATTGCCCATACCATGGGCCACTGACGGGAGGCAGTTACTGTCCACACAGACAACATTGAGTTACAGTTGTAAAACGTAACAATACTAACATGGACATACATGTATGATTACAATTCCTATTTCTCTGAAGTTGTGACATGATCCCTCCGGGATTAGGGCACCATCAACGTGGCCAAAGGCAAATGCAGTTCAAAGTTACCATTTCAGTTGCATCATTTGTATCGTCATCCTCGAAACATCACTACAACTGTATGTATATGGTACCTCCTTGAGGTAAGAATGCGTATATGCCCCACCTAAAGTTGATCTGAATACCCCACAAACAGCTTCCACCACGCATGGCCAAATTCTTATGTTTGCCTAAAGATTTTACGCACAATAAAAATACCTGAGAAGTAGTCTGATTGCTTTGTGTTAAACATTGTTACCAGTATCTCCTACACCATATGTCATCATACCTATGTTGTGATATATTCCTAGGTGTAGCGTACCTTGAATTTGTTGTAATTTTCCTTTTTGTGGTGACGGTTGTTCGGGTTGCTTTGTAGAAAAAGCGTTCAGTGGTCGCGCCGAAGGCTCGAGTTCTATCGCGTACAGGGGGCCTTATGTGAAGGGCAACTGTAGTGTCCAGCGCCTGAATGCGGACGGCACAAAATTATATTCTTTCGGGGATATGCGTACTCATGTCTTCATGTTTGACATGCAGGTTGTTGTTTCACCACTGGGCTCAAACAGTTGGCTACCAGGAACTGAAAACAAGACTTTTTAGTGTCGATTTATGGTGAAGAATAATGCAACTTCTTGTTGCTTTTTGCAAGTGATTCCGAGAAGAGGGAGCATCCGCGTGTCACGTACCGCCACTAAAACTCATAGCACACTGCTGGACAAATACAACACTGAAAACATGATTTAACTCAAAACATATACAACGTTATGAAAGGGTTACTATTTTGAAACCAGTCGCCGCCGTAACACTGCAAACCATCAGACATGGGTGCACACTGTGGCGGTCAACTGGACTCCAGTCGATTGACGGATGCAGGAGTCAGGGTACGTCACGTATGGCTATGCCAGCTAATCTTTGACTTGGCTAATTCCTGGCAATCGATGCTGGAGATGGGTAACTAACCCTCCCAGTCGGACTGTATGTATGTCAGACGTGTTATTGGACTATCACCAGAGGAAAGTAGCGATCGTACTTGCTGTAGAGTCGTTCTGAGATCAGGTTTGTCCTAAGTCTGTCTGATCTGTGATGGCCACTGGTGCTTTGTGCTATTGGAACACTGTTCGGAGCTGGGTATGCTGACTACATATGAAGATACGCGTCCTCGGGAAACAGGTTTTAGCTGCTAGTGGGCCTTAAGGGTCATTATGTCTGAAGTCCACTGTGTCCAGACTGATGAACATTGTCATATTACCTGATTGTGTGGGGGCTGGTTGTGGGGCTGTAGTAGGACCAGCTGTGTGGCTAGTTGTAGTTGTAGGGTTGGTTGGTTGAGTGTCTGCTTGTGTGGTTGGTTGGGGAGTATGTAGTAGGGTTGGTTGAGTGTCTGTTTGTGTGGCTGGTTGGGGAGTTTGGAGTAGAGTTGGTTGAGTGTCTGCATGTATGGATGGTTGAGGACTTGTAGTAGGGTTGGTTGAGTGTCTGCTTGTACGGTTGGTTGTGTGTCTGCTTGTGTGGCTGGTTGAGGACTTTGTAGTAGGGTCGGTTGAGTGTCTGCTTGTGTGGCTGGTTGGGGAGATTGGAGTAGAGTTGGTTGAGTGTCTGCATGTATGGCTGGTTGAGGACTTTGTAGTAGGGTCGGTTGAGTGTCTGTTTGTGTGGCTGGTTGAGGAGTTTGGAGTAGAGTTGGTTGAGCGTCTGCATGTATGGATGGTTGAGGACTTGTAGTAGGGTTGGTTGAGTGTCTGCTTGTACGGTTGGTTGTGTGTCTGCTTGTGTGGCTGGTTGAGGACTTTGTAGTAGGGTCGGTTGAGTGTCTGCTTGTGTGGCTGGTTAAGGAGTTTGGAGTAGAGTTGGTTGAGTGTCCGCATGTATGGCTGGTTGAGGACTTTGTAGTAGGGTTGGTTGAGTGTCTGTTTGTGTGGCTGGTTGGGGAGTTTGGAGTAGAGTTGGTTGAGTGTCTGCATGTATGGCTGGTTGAGGACTTTGTAGCAGGGTTGGTTGAGTGTCTGCTTGTACGGTTGGTTGTGTGTCTGCTTGTGTGGCTGGTTGAGGACTTTGTAGTAGGGTCGGTTGAGTGTCTGCTTGTGTGGCTTATTGACGAGTTTGTAGTAGGGTTGGTTGAGTGTCTGTTTGTGTGGCTGGTTGGGGAGTTTGTAGCAGGGTTGGTTGAGTGTCTGCTTGTGTGACTGTTTAGGGAGTATGTACTTTGGTTGGTTGAGTGTCTGCTTGTATGGCTGGTTGAGGAGTTTGTAGCAGGGTTGGTTGAATGTCTGCTTGTGTGGCAGGTTGACGAGTTTGTAGCAGGGTTGGTTGAGTGTCTGCTTGTATGGTTGGTTGGGGAATTTGTAGCAGGGTTGGTTGAGTGTCTGCTTATATGGCTGGTTAGGGAGTTTGTAGCAGGGTTGGTTGAGTGTCTGCATGTATGGATGGTTCAGGAGTTTGTAGTAGAGTTGGTTGAGTGTCTGCTTGTGTGGCTGTTTGAGGAGTTTATAGTAGAGTTGGTTGAGTGTCTGCTTGTATGGCTGGTTTGGGAGTTTGTAGTAGAGTTGGTTGAGTGTCTACATGTGTGGCTGGTTGAGGAGTTTGTAGTAGAGTTGGTTGAGTGTTTGCTTGTGTGCCTGGTTGGGGAGTTTGTAGTAGGGCTGGTTGAGTGTCTGTTTGTGTGGTTGGTTGAGGAGTTTGTAGTAGGGTTGATTATATGGCTAAATGTGTACCTGGATGTGTGGTTGGTGGTAGGGCTGGTTGTGTCGCAAGGTATGTTGCTGGTTTCTGGCAGGATTGGTTGTGGGGTGGTTGTGTGTCTGGTTCTGGGGTAGGTTGTCTTGCATGTTGTGTGGCTGGTTAAGGGGTATTGTTGGCAAGATTGGTTGTGTGCGTGGGTGGGTGTCTGTGCGTGTGCGTGTGCGTGTGCGCGTGCGCGTGCGCGTGTGCGTGTGTGTACGTGTGTGTGTGTGTGTGTGTGTACATATTATACCCATGGGTAGATTAATATCATTGCCAATTGCGTGTAAATTATCTGTGACACATTGTGCTAGCTATGATACATTTAATTTTCGTTAAAAACCAGATGTGACACATTGCATGCAAAACCAGCTGTGACACATTGTGTTCGAGTGTAACCTCGACTAATACTGTGGTGCATGGTACGCACGAGTGCGATGTGTCACGACTAGTTTTAAGACAAATATGGAACTACGCGCAACTATTCTCAATACTGCCCGTTTACTCGTTAAGAATGATCGGGTGATCGTGACCTAAGCTTCAGCGCCACTGACCAACCTCGTCAGTACTGGGCAGCTTGCCGCGAATTGTATCAGCACGCCATGTTGCGTCTGCGCTTGTAGCCTCTAATTAGCATAGCAAGAAATCATTCCTGTTCTCAAACGTGAAATTAAAAAAGATCAAAGGATAATTCAAAAGACGTCACTTGCGTCGTATTCAGTCTCGGACTTATTCAATTATCACATTTGAAACACGTCTAGGCAACGTTTAAATCCTTCGCTGCTTAACAGGATACAATGACACAGGCGTAATGACAGTATCGTGGTGGGAACGGATTTTGACAAGTAGACAAGCAGATTTTGTTTTTGTCTTTCGAAAAGCTGACGGATTCATTGCTTCGTGTTCTTAATCCGTGTTTATCTTTCAAATCAAATTAACCGAATTTGAATTTCTAAAATAATACTTTCGTGCCTAGTCGTTCATATGACTGTTTCTTACATATTCATGTACACAGTGTATGTATCTCTATTTATAATTGTATCAGTTCCTGTCGAGACAGACGGTAGCTAATGCTTAATGTCTTAATAGGCAGCCACATATCTAATACTCGTCTTCTAAAGCGCCATGAATATACACATTGAAATGCTATTTCACAGGGAACCTTATAACATAAAGAACGTGAAGGTGTACATTTATAAGTGTCTATCGGGAATGATTGTGAAGATGTTCCAGGCGCTAGGGGACGCCCACCGCAGTGATCAGGACTGTGTGGTGCCCAGTTTCTAAGAGAAAACAACGATTGGGCCTGCGTGTCGCCAACAGCCTGCAGTGAGTGGATCTGTGATATGTACCTGTCTCATTACGCACGCCCACTGTAACATTCCCCGTTACAATAGAGACCAATACAGAAAACCTCTTTGTCAAGGTCTCAACAAAAATACAGATCTCAAACACACACGCACGCACACACAGGCACACACACAAACACACACATAAAAGTATATTTGTTTATAGATACATGAACGAGGCACACTTTGGATGATCAAGGTGCTACGGGTAACAAGACGAAATGATTCTCTATTAGGTGCTCCATGCTCCAAACACTCACGGAAAAACACATTTGAACATTGTTAGTGGTAATGTTATTGTGGTATATCGTTAAAATTATTGTTCAAAATCAGTGACGTAACGTCATGTTGCAGCAGGACTCGCCCGCCCACAGGGCTGCAAGTGTTGTAACAGACTATTCGCTGAACTGCCATGACCGGCTGTTTGGCACGACCTCTCACCCAGAACATATCTGGGATGAAATGGATTGACGCCTACAACAGGACTGGAACTAGCCGATAACGCCAGGTCACCTGAAACAATCTTTCTTTGACATTTGGAACAAAATCCCTCTGTTTTCAATCATCTTCTGTCCTAAGTGCATTGCCTGCATCAACGCAAAGGGTGGTCACACTCGATATTGGCATTGTGAAGTGATATGTTACACTTCCCCAGGGCGTGTAGTGCTGTCAATTGTCACTAGGTTTGTGTTTGGTCTATGAATATGTCATGATACAACATGTAGTGCAGTGGAAGCTCTCAAAACCGGCAACCCTCCAATCCGGCACGCTCTCAATATCGGCACTAGAATTTGGTCCCGGCAGAAGCTAGTTAATTTATGATCATTTACACGCCCTCTAATGCGGCGTCAGTCTATTCTGTATTTCGGAATGGTCGGATATGGTCAAACGTACCTAAAAATATACCTGAGTAGCTTTCAAAAGAGCACAAGCCACTCGTAGAGACTCGTCATTACATGGCAAACTGTGCTGGTTATGGGTTCATTATCCAACGCAATTACACGGTGTATTAGATGTATACAATGCAGGATATAACTATACTCATGCCAATAATGGTTGTCACCCCCTTCAATTTATTTAATTGGAGAGGGGTGTGGGGTGAGGAGTGTGAGGTGTGTGGGATGGGTGGGTGGGGGGGGGTGACAACCATTATTGGAATGAGTATATATAACTATGATAACGTTTACGTCAATGTACCAACCAACTTTCTTCTTGGGTAGACTTATTTTCAATAATATGTATGTGTTTTAAGTGTAAGTGCTACTCCGATGATGTATGCGACTAAAAGGTATAAGGGGAAAACAGACAGACATCGAAATGGTTTATATGTGTCCTTTATGGCAAAGTATCCAACGATTGTTGATTTGGGCCTATTATCTAAACACTACATAATTCAATGTTAACTGGAGACTGTTGAATGGCATTATCACGATGTATGATGAAGACGGAAACATTGTATGTGACACGATGTGCCTGTTCTCACATCTCCGACTGTCACAGATTCATCTACTGTTCTTACTGTTCTATCTTAGATGAAAGCAGCGTCTTGACGACGTGGGCGTGATGCAGTAGAAATATCGACGACAATTACTCCATATAGGAGCAGAAACCGTTGTAAAACTCAAAAACAAATTTGATATATTTTGAAAATACAAGCCATGATAATGACGCCATTTTTCGCTCATTCGTCTATTTTCTTCTTGTTTTGTTTTCGGCGTACATGGAGAGCCACTTGGGGATTTCACTGATCCGATTGTAGTCTGTGTTCACGGTTAATATTCTTTGAAGATCATCATAAGGTAAAACCCGTGGCTTTGCCTTTGTTCAAACTTGTAACTAAACAACACGTCTTTAACTTTCCCTAGTGATCAAGACCAGGGCAACACTAAAATACGATAGAAAATTCAAAAGCCGTCTATGTCATAATAATATTTAATCAGTTGAAAACACTGACTTAACATAAATCAATTCCGTCGGATCAAAAGTGGAATAAACGCGCGAAGGAAACTCTTTTAAATGAGCATATAAGTCGATCTTAGTAACCATTCACATTTCTACCAGTCAAACCTCCCAAAGATGCTCTTTGAAATCAATGTCATGTTCCTTTAATAATTTTGATTGATTTTAGCCAGTTGTCAGTCAAGGAGCTCAGCAAGCATGAAAAACGTTTGGCTACCGACAACGGGGACGAGCCGTGATAGTTTAACGTAGATAGTCAAAGTGTAGTCGGACTTATCGATTACGTGCTTCCTGATGCTGCACGAGCAAGATGTGACGTGTTAACATTACCGAATGGCCCCTGTTGCAGGAAGATGTATGTCTCTGACCCCACGCTGCTCGCCCGATATTTTCACCGTCCTTGTTCTCAAATGTCGACTGAACACCTTCAATCTTACAGAAATTACTTTTCAACACAACAATCACTCGGTCGTCAATCGTTGCACCTTTGTCCTCCCGTGGAATTCTCTGTTACGTAACGAGAGATTAATACTCAATTTCGTGTGATTGATTGAAATTTACAACCGTAGGGATTGTCAAAGTTAATTAAGCCGCTTTGGTTGCAACCGTTGATTAAATAATTTAGGGTCAATTTACTTCACCCCTCTTACATAAATCCGTGCAAATATGATCATATTTATATCAAGTGGTAATTACTGCGCCAGTCTCAGGTGGAAAGTGATTTACGGAAAGTGTCATCTGGGGAGATATGTCATGAAACAACTGTTTGAAGTGGTAATGAAATTGAACTCTCCTTATGACACGAGCCGTTTTAAATTGAAATGCCTGATAATGTATGAGCGAAAAGGAGGGCGCTAAATGTAAGTAAGTCTGCCATGTGATTCGTATTCTGTCTGATCAATTGTGCGTGAGTCCATGTTAGAGACTGAATGTTGACCCCTCCTCCATGGTGCTATCGTCATTCATTGACTTTGGGATTCGTACAGTTCTGTTTACAAATGTCAACCTACTCAATCTTTGGTTCGCAGAAAAGTGGGTCATATTACTACTTCAAACATATTGGCACTTCTTGTGTCCTGGAAGTAGGGTGGCCCATTTCTGGTGTCCCCCCGCCGTGATGTTGCTGGAATATTGCTAAAAGCGGCGTAAAACCAAACTCAGTCAGTCAGTCAGTGGAAGTAGGGTGAGGATATCCCTCTGTTCGGATACAGTGGATGCCCGATATTTAGAATTAGGCAATGGGCTCGTCTTTAGTGGTTTATGTTTTTATGACGATTAGCATTGATTTCGTTACACGTTTTATTTTGTTTTGTTGTTGTTGTTCTTTTGTTAATTTGTAAACTTTCAGCAGTTGTGGTTAGGATGACTGCAAACACACATCCACATAGAGG